CCCCCCCCCCCCCCCTGCATGCATGAATTAAAAACTGGAATTGCCTAATAGGTACGAGATTGTTGAGTGCAGGGCGTTAATTTCGGTAGCCAGTAAAACGTTAGCTTTCCTAATTAAAGGAAAACTGTGACCAGTAAGCCGTATGCCCACTAGGTGCGTGACTGCAGACCAAAGTTACAGCCTGAACCGGCCTACGTGATAAGCAGATTTACTAATTTAAAATGCCTTGAAAATTTCCTGTCATTTCATTCAATATCCTTCCAATTTTGTCTTGCCAGAGCTCCCAATTTTCTGCCAACAATATTACGGAGCACATATCCTGGCAAGTTGAAGCTCGATCTGCTCGTTTCTATGCAATGGTAATATTTTCGCTTTCGTATTTGAACTATTTTTAAATTGAAAGTTCCTATTTTCACTTGTAAAATGCAAAACCAACTGACAATTTAAGAAAAATTAATATAAAATTAATATAAAACAAATTCGAATATGAAAACATCTGGAAACTCAAGATACGGACTAAAACAAGTCGTAAATTTTAAATGGTTATATTTCAATCCTATTACGGAAACATCATTGGTCTGATGTTTCACGTGATGTTTCAACCTTCCGGTCCACAATGAAACATTAGGGACCTTAAATTAAGCAAGCAGGACGGCAACGCGACGACGACGGCTATTCACACAATGATGTTCCTGATCTCGTACAAAAGAAATGAATAATTAAAAGCCCCACGGGAGTGAGATTTTCACGTCTCGTGTACAATGCAAACATGTCAAGAGGCTACAAGTGAAACTACAAATTTGCTCAGCAGAAGCGTTTTTAACCATAAAGCCTTTGTTTTAATTTCTTCAAACTGAACTCAATTCATATATACATCACGCAGGGAATAATATATAACAACACTTCTTCGCAATAAATTATTTTAAGAAGTTTGTTTTTGTTGTCGTCGTCGCGTTGCCGTCGTACATGCTTATAAGGTCCCTAATTATTGCAATTGATAGTCAACAATAGAATGGGTGAAGCAACCGTGAAGTTCCAAAGTTCATGTTATTAAACTTTTTTAATTAATTCAAACATTTACGGCGTCCCGTTTATCTAGTTTTGGTTCAAAGTTCACTCACAATAACGGTGAATTACTCATACTTTGACACTTATATACTATACAAGGTGTCTCAAAAAAACGCTATGGAAATTCAACAGGTTGTCAGTCGTGCATCATAAACTTAGCTAAACAATTCAATTTTTACATAAAACGAAAGAGCTGTTATTTAGCTTTTCCGTATGATACCTTTCTTAAACCGTAACGATGAGAAATGGCCACATACTCGTCAAATAAAAATTGCCAGTCGAAATCAAATTCTTCCACCGTTGGGAATTGAAAATACATTAATTATACAAAGTTAATCAATCCAAAAGCAATGCGAGCCTGCTGCAAGGTATTTGTTTCGTAATACGTTTTGATTACGAATGTTCTCCAGTGGCGTAACTCCTGTGAGTTCTACCCGGTAAGAGCCGGGGGCACCCAGGCAAACAGGCTTCCAGGAGAGCACCCTGAACTGAGTTGTCCGGGGGCCTTGTTCATCTAAGGATTTATGTGTTTAAGTACAGTGGCAAACATTTCACTGTTTATGTCAAAAACAATTTCTGCATGGTGTTTTTTCTGCATAGTTGTTTTTTTGTAGTTGTATATTTTGTTATATATTTATATTTCCAGTTCAAGACACCATTAAAATTCCCTTCTAAATTAACGACCGTCAAAATGTTCATATTGTTAAGAGCTTCATGGTACTTCAAAAAGATCTAGGATACCTCTGTCTTGGGGCACCCAGTTCGGGTAGGACCAGGGGCAGGCTGGTCCAAACTTACGCCCCTGATGTTCTCTGCATGTTCAGTGGTTAATTAACCATGTTTAATGCAATAATGGACGTTCTTTGTCTCACTAAGACGAAGATTGACGAGTTGAGCTCATTTTAGATAATTTAACATTCAACTTTAATTCCCTCTTGGGAATTATGTGTGTTTCGTTTTCCATACAATTCCCAACGGTAGAAGAATGTGATTTCGACCGGCAATTTTTATTTTACAAGTATGTGGCCATTTCTCATCATTACGATTTAAAAAAGGTATCATATAGAAAGGCTAAATAACAGCTCTTTTGTCCTATGACTATGTAAAAATTGAATTATTTAGCTAAGTTTATGATGCACGATAGCCTGTTGATTTTCCATAGCATTTTTTAGACACCCTGTATAACAAAACTTTTATTTACGGAGATCTTGGGAAAGCTGTGTGTTTACGACGGTCTCGGGTCCACAGAGCACACTGTTTCCCTCGGTCTCAGTAAATAAGTGATAATAGCTGTTATCGTAATTGAATACGCCGCTGCGGAATACCAGCGGTATCTCAGTGGAAGTACGCACGAAAACGAGGCTAAAGGGTCAAAAAACACAAAACATGACCCTATAGCCTCGTCTCGATGTTAAAATAATGCAGATGCCGCTGGTCCGTAGTATAGACGTATTCAATTACGATAACAGCTATTATTAGCTGTAAATGGCGCTTATGATCTTGTGAATCAAAATGTATGATTCTGTATGGAGCATCTATAGTCCAGTCAATCTGTGGCCAGAGGTCAAAGAAATTGCAATAGAATTTTTTTTCAGTTGTAAAATGCGAGGGAAGGTGTCCTGATTAACATACTAAAAATCCAAAAAAATTCCTTCGGTGGAACATGGTGAAGTTCGAGTTTTTCTTACTTCTACCTATAGAAAACCATTGTGGACAGAATGTTCAAATTTTGAAATCATTTTTAGGCAAATGTAACCTACATTATTGGAAAGCTTAAACAAAACTATATAAAGGTCAATTAAACCGTTATATTCAATTTACTGGTCAGTTTGTCGTTATTCTAGCTCAAAGTTGGAAAAATAGCGCAAAATTTGCACAAAATACAAATTTATGGCATTTTAAATCTTGTATAACTTCGGCTGGATAGGCAAAAGCAAGGTAACCGTGTAATGATCTATATTTTAGTTTTTTTAAGCTTTCCAATAATGTAGGTTACATTTGCCTAAAAATGATTTCAAAATTTCAACATTCTGTCCACAATGGTTTTCTATAGGTAGAAGTAAGAAAAACTCGATTTTCAACATGTTCCAC